ATAAATTTTAAATTTATAAAATGAATTTAAATTACCTAATTGATAAATGATAAATTTTGATTTGATAATAAATTTTTAATGGTAAGATAAAATTAAAAAATGCAAATAAGGATTATGGAAACCATTCTATGTTGTCATATTATAATTATTTAAGACTGATTGTAAGTGAATAATAAAATTAATTTCATGCAATAAGTAAAATATCCAGACTTATCAAATTCAAATTAGGAAACTCTATCCTAACAATTGTTTGAGAATACTAATTAAAACATTAAATTTATCCCTGTTGTGACACAAAATTAAGACTAATTTTCCTAATCTATTTAAGTTCAACCTTAAGTTTCCTTAAATTAGGTTGCACCTTATTAAGAGTTTGCAAATTATCAGGTGACTCAGTAGCCGATATAAACATCAAATCTAATCAAAGATTAAGAATTTTAAAAACAAAAGAAATATTTCATGCAAATTTTAGGAATTTTCATACTTTGGACAATTGTGGCCTTCTTGATATACATTTTTTTCTGCTTCACTTTATTTCGAATAAATAGACTTGAAATAGTTTTTTTTGCTTTCCTTTTTATTTCTGTGATAGGGGTCCCAATACTCATAAAAATTGGAATTGGGGAAAACTATAGGAATGTAACACAAAATCATTTATAATAGAAACCCGCCAGCATTTTTATCTTATTTGGATTAATATTGAATCACACAATGTTGTATTTCGGAATCTTAGGTGTTATAATTTATATAATTAATGATTATTGGGCAGGTAAAAATATTATACGATATAAGGCTTGGCTATATTTCTCATTTTCTCATTAAATATAGGTGTAAACTTCATTAGTAATTTCATTATGTTGATTTATTTATAGTTTGAATAAAACAGGATAAAGATGATTTGTAAGAATTTAAATAATAATTTTTAGATGTATTTGTAGCTCAACTATTTGTTATTGCTATTTGTGGGATATTTTTATAACAAATAACATTATTTTTAGTATTCACCCTCCCTTACCCTTTTTGTGTATTGAATGTGCTGAAGTAAATCTAAAAAGGACGAGTAAAAATTATTTTTTAAAATTAGTTTAAATTGCAGAATGATCAAGTAATTACAGCATCAATTACTGCTTTTTATGGAATGATAATTTGTTGTGAAGACTGATATCCATAATTAAATAAAAATATTTGCATAAATTTTATTAATGCTTTAAATTTTTGAATTAATAATATTCTTCTAAAAGAAGTTTAGAAGGCCTCTGAATTTGAGCATGAATAATATTTCTCAACTCCAAACGATATCACTTAAGTTAATTTTTTTTCACACAATTTGGAGTTGCATAAATTTACTAAATTATATTTGTATTTCAAAGCAAATCCTATTTCAAATTTACTAATCATTTTTAATAAGAATTAGGTTGCATCAAATATTCACCTTTGATAACTTTATTTGTTCGTTGTTCAAAATCTTTAATCATCGTAAGATATATCCAAAAAAATACCCTCCGATCTGTCTATTAAAGAAATCTTTTTTTATCTCAATACCACATTTATATCAGTAATGATCTTTACATAAGGTTATATTCAGTTAAATTTAAAGTCCCAAGCCATCCAATGTATCTTTTCCAAGGCCTCATAGATAATCCTCCTTTTCATATACCTCTCTTCTAATTTATTGTATTACCTTAATGATTTATTGATACTGAGTTGATGTTACTTGCTTGAGTTATTTTTTCTTTTCTTCATAAATATTCTCTTTCTCCATTAATTTGTTCATAGAGACCACACTTGATAATCTAGAGTGATTCTAAATTTCGTAAATAAGATAATCCAAAAAAGTTCCTTTGAATATAATATTTTGTAAAAGAGCAAAATGAATTAACTAAACGTTTAGGCCTCTCTCAAAATTTCAATCGATAGAATCTTATATTTCATTTCTCTTTGGTTTTTAGATGCAAATCTCATTTATACTTGCAGAAGCTTATTTAATACTTGTTAAAATTATGGTATATGTTAATTAATTTCAAGCAAAATGCAATATGGATCTGAAATTGTTGTTTAATTTCAGAGTATCTTAATTATATCATTAGCTGTTTAAGCTTTAATAAGATAATTTAAATAAGGTTAAATTAAAATTTATAATTTATTTAATATAATTAAAAAATGAATATGCATTCTCAGGGATTTGAATTATCTGAATATTATGAATCAATTTATAAAGTGAATACCCAAATCAATTTCAGCACAATAATTACTGGTATGCTTTTAATCTTGTAAAATAAATAAATTATATTACAGATAGTTAGAAGGATTGGAAATTATATTTCTCACAATCAATATTAATTAATAACTTTATTTGACCAAATTAAGAAAAATATAAATGAACATTATTTAGATAAGTAGATTTTTTCGCTTATTAATTGAAAGAATCAAAATCAAGGATATCAAGAATAAATCTGTACCCTATATTATGATTAAACAATTCTATCTTAGCTTCACTTTCCCATTTAATCACCTTGATTTATAAATTAAATAATCATATAATAAATTTCAAACAAAATTCAAAATTAAATACAAACCGTATAAGACTTATATCATATTATATATTTGACTTAATTAAAAATTATTTCTTCAAGGGGTTATGGATTGTCTGATTAAGATATCTGAAGAATTTAAATTCATAATATATGAATTATAATTTTAATCAATTAGCTGAGAAGCTAATAAACAGGTAAATTTTAAATCACTCAAATATTTCCAAGACTACTTTACTTCTAGATTTGATTATACTGATAATCTAAGTCGTTTTGATGATTGAAATTTGTTATTGCAAACTATTAATGAATATTTTTAGCTTTTTTATTAATATTTTCGAGCTTAATTTCAAACAGAAGGTGAATAAGATGGAGATAATTCTGAAGACTTATGCATCGAAGTTTATAATAATAATTCTTATATTTGAAAATAATAATTTTAATCAAATAATGTCATTAACTAATCTATCACAGAATAATACAAGACAGTGTATTTATGAAATATCAAATCAGTTAATTAATAGAGTCAGCTAAGATAAATTTTTATCTTATGATCTCATTAATTTAAGTTAAATTTTGAGATTTGGGTTAATTCCTGGAAATAAAACCAAATCTCTCTACCAAAAATAATAGCATAATAAAAAGTTCATTACTAAATATAACTTTTTTAAAAGGATATACTTTTATTTTAAAGAAGAATTTTAAAACATCTAGTGTTAATATTGTTTATTTAGGATGGAGATCACATGAGATCTATTGTTTCAAGAGCTTTCAGTATTATATTAACTGAGAATGATAATGTCTAAATTTTATAACATTTAAACATAATTTTCTCTTCATTTTTTAATTGATATATAGCAGCTTAATATTATTTCATCATTTATAAATTGGTAATATTTTAATAATTAAAATAATGATCCTTAATATGAATAGCTATGAAGCTCAAAAGAAATTAACTTAATATGATCAATAGGCTTGAGATTTCAGCAACTAAAATTAGATAGAAATTATGGGAAAAAGGGCAGATGTCGTAACTTAGTTTGCTTTAATTTTTGTGATACAAAACTTTACTTCTGGCGAAAATTTGTATGAAAATTAAACTAAATTTCTTTGACATACTTGATTTGCAGGAGATATGAGAAAAATAATTGAAAATTCATTGGTTTTAATTTATTAACAATTAAAGATGTATAACTGTCAAACAGGAGGTAGACTTATTTTTATCATACTTGAAAAAATTAGACTTTAAAATTGTTATTTTAAGTTTTTTCATTCTATATTTTTATTTCTCTTACATGAAAATTATTATTAATCTGAAAAATAACTATTTTATATATTAATCCTATGATGTTACAGGTAGCATGTATATTACCTTCTTCCGCACAGCTTTATTTCAAGGCTATTTTGATTAAATGGGGGGGGGAACTGAATGATTATATTGACATATTTGAGAATTTAAATGAATCAGGGAAAGGTAAATTTCAAACAAACAAGTGGATTCTGAGCCCACAATTATCGACCTGACCGATGCATACTACTGTGAGAATGATGTTGAGCGATTCGTTTTTGAAGTCTGAACGAAGCGAAAGCAGAAGGTGTATCAGATCTATATCACTTAAAATAATACAGATCAAAGTATCTTCAATCTAAATCTTAGTAAAAGCCCTGAATGTTTTGTCTTGTTACTAAGGGTTTACAAATCTATGTAGAAATCAAAATTTAGAGAAAAGTAGTTGGGGAATATTCAACTCTTTCCTGAGTAAGAAAAAATATCTGTATTAATTAGGGTGCAGATACCGGTTTTCAACTGTTAGGAGGGTTTAAAGGGAGTATTTTATGATAAGTAGAATTTTGAAAAGAAAATTATTGTTTTAAAGAGAGGTTATAGAAATTTTGAAAATGAACTTAAAATATTCTCCTAGGACGTCGTATAGGATGAGCAAACCCAAAGCCGATCTATCTATTACTGAAAAAATAATTTAATGGAGATAAATATATATATCTAAATGCAAAATAATTAAATACGCTAATTGGTTCTGATTCAAGAATAAAAACTATTTGAAGAAGAAAAATTATAGTTGAATGAAAAATAACTTTAAGGATAAAGGATTATGCTCATATAGAAATTTGAAATCGT